GTAACTTATTTAATATTTGAAATTGTAAAAATACTTCTTTTTTGCATGAATATATTGCATTAGCAATTTCTGAGGATAGCAATCGATTTTCCCAGATACAAGTCCTCCTGGTAGGAGGACATGACATTCATACATTTACCAAGGGCATTTGCCCATAAGTGAATGCAACGAACCTGATTGAAATTCAAACTCGGCTCGTCGATTTCTCATTACGAGCCACTATCCATTATACCACATGCACATTTTTTGGTAAGTAGAAGACAGATGTTACAGTTCAATTAAATAGAATTTGTTTGTTGCAGTCTAAACCGGATACAAATACGTTCACAGGAATCAAGTGGTTTTCAGCCCCCTTCTAGAACAGTTCATTACAACCTTCTTCACATAATACCTGCTGATTAAATGTACTAACAAGCGCATGCACACACACACACACACACACACACATCACCTCATATATATATATATATATGATAAGTATGATTTATATGGCATTTTAATTTTAAAAGCAAAGCTAAAAAAAAAAAATAAAAAACAACCGGCTTCGTCCCAGCCTTATCAAGTTTATTTCTGGGATATAAAAAATGAACGTGTAAATTTAATTGATATTAATGATAAACAATGGAGGGGAGAAAAATATGTATTTCAAGAAAGCTAGAGTCCAATAACATTCAGACCCAGTAAGCATTCCCTCTGTAAACAGAGGATAGGCTCACGGGATCTAATATACAAGGTCTCTAGAACCTTGGAGTGATATGAGGTGATATATCGAAAAAACAGTCCACCATAAAAATCAAAGACACAATTCCTACTATTTATAACATGCTCTGCAATAGAAGAGCCAGAAGTATTAATTAGTTGAGTTTTCCTGGCATCCAGATTCAATATATATATATATAAATAAATATATATATATATATATATATATATATATATATATATATATATATATATATATGTATATGAAAAAACTCAGTACATCATTAAAGTGTTCAGTAATAATTTCCGGTCTGATGAGGCAGTTGTCTGTCTGATATAAATTATTACCGAACTCTTTAATGATGTATTAAGTTTTTCCTTTGATGTCTATCATATTGCTCTGTATTTTGATACATTGAACTCTATTTATCGATCTATCTTTTTAATATTTTATATTAAATTTGGATTATCCTTACCACTTACAGATCTGATATATATATATATATATATATATATATATATATATATATTTCGCACAATGTCATCATCAGAGTATTGTTTATTTTGTCTTTGAAAATGATGAACACTACAATATTTGTCTTGAAATAAACAACACCCTGATGATGACGTTGTGCAAATGTCGAAAGTACTCGGAATAAATATGTATCAACACGGTAATTTTCTCTCTTCCTTTAATAATGACATCAAAAAGCTTATGCGCGAATACGAAAGGATCCAGTTGAAATAAGGAGAAAAAAAACCCTGTCTAAATTATTCAATGAAACATGTCTCTGACTTTAATGAGGAGAAAGGTCTATAAAAGAATAGGGTTCAGGAAGACGGAAGATGGCGATAATGCCAGTAAGACGCCAGGGGTTACTGGGAGTGAAAGAGAATGAGAAGACATTAGTGAGGAAAAAGCAAGAAGTTACTAAAGTTAAATGAAGATGACTTTCACTACTACTGTGATATTCCCGACTGCCACTTCTACTTGAGTGAAAGCCAGTGTGTAAAAATGGTTGGCAGCTGAGTGACGTCAAGAGCGCTTGATTTGGTGAGTCCTATTAACGTTTTGTGATACACAGTGGAAAACAGGTGTTGCGGTTCAAGTCACAAGTATTTGTTTATTTTCGTCTCAATCGGATACAAATACGTTCAAAGGAAACAAGTGGTCTACAGTCTCCTTCTAGAACAATTCATTACAACTTTCTTTACTTACATAACAACTGTTGACTAAAGAATTAAAGGATACATATATAACAGACAATACATATAATACGATGGTAATGGTAAGATTGACCGTTTTCTTTTAAGGAAAGATTCGGTATTCATTGACTGAGCAGAAATTTATAAAATCTTTCTCTTTAAACAGTTTTTTCAGGAAAATATTGTCTCAAGTATACTGTTATCTTGCAGAGACATTATTATTATTATTAATAAATAAAAATAAAATAAAAATTAATAATAATAAATAAAATAAAACAATAACATAAATACGTTGTATAAAATAAATTAAATAAAAATACTCATAGCATGCAACAAAAACTGTTCCTGTCGGAAATATGGACAACTCGCCAAAACACGTCAAATTCAATCTCTTCACCACGAACCTTGGTATGAGCAACACGTGTCCAACTTCTCTATGCAATATGGCTTGTACGGAGTAAATTCTCCCTTTTATTACATGTACCATAAAACAATTATAACCTAAAAAAATACGCACACCAATACACACAAAAATATAAATTGTATGAAGTTAACATACAATTTACCATGCTTTTCCTGTTATTTCTGTACGTTTTATTTCTTGTTAAGTGTGCTTTTATCTCCATGAAGACAAAGCTAATTTCTACTGATATGATGTGAGTGAACCCTCACAATCTCTCTCCCAAGTATTAATGACGGTCTTTGCTTTGTATAATACAAGTTGGTTCCAAGACTCAATCAAAGACTTCAAGGGATCATAAGGTTTTGTATCAGAAGATGCAAACAGATGTGGTGCCATTAAATCAGGGACAAATTATTATTATTATTATTGTTATTATTATTATTATTATTCAACTGTACCTTATGTTTCAGGAGTTATAATAGCATATTCAGAAGCATTGCACTAGGACTACTTTCTTACGCGCACGGACGTGTGAGTGAAGCGACCAACCCAGTGTAATAATACAAGCGCTTCCACGTTGACCAGTAACAGTAAACCCGCATCTATATTCACTGTAAAACTATTTCTGAATAACATTACAGAATCTACAACTTTATCATCTGACAGTCCCCATGGATACAAGTATTGAGATTCTATCAATTTTGAGGAATTATTTTCAACTGGGCTTCAAGGCAATTGAAGCTTATCGTGTAGCATTCAAAGCGGAAGGAAATGAACCAACGTCTGATCGTACTGGTTCAAACTGGTTTAAGCATTTTAAAGAGTGGTGACTTATCCCTTGAAATAGTTTTGAGAATTGGATAACGACCAGTTATCGATTCTGAGGCTTTAAAACGCAACGTAGAGGAAAGCACTTGAAAATCTTCAGAAGAGCAAGGATCCTCGAAAGATACCAATAAGCAAGCTTAAAAAATTATATATATGAGGACTGAGCAGTTCCAATCCAGATATGACAGCAAAATACCATTTCTTGTCGAATCTGACTTTTATAAAGATTAAGAATGGCGGAAATCGTACTACAGTAAGTAACTCATTAAAATAACTTATTCGACAGAGTTTTTTCCTCATTAGCGTCATTTTTACGTTGCAGCCAAACAGTACATCAAAGCATAAAATAGAAAACTTACCATAAAAAATGTTACATAAAATATCGAAGATATATACCTACCCGATCTTAACAGTTTTAAAATATACGAAATGTGCTTGTTTAAGAACGAGACTGGGCTTATACTACTTGAATCATCAAGCACTATGATGAATTGACCCACGGGGATACAAGGAAATTTCCTATTACGAGAATTTTAATGCAACACTCGTTGAAATCCTCCCAGTATTGAAATTATCGCTAACATTTTTTGTCAATATTTACAAACTCTACGTTTCGTTCGATTTCGCAAACAAATCGATGAAATATAAAACCTTAAAGAAAAAGATATGAATTAAATAAAATTGCATTTTTATTAAATAAGTATTTGTCATTTTAATTATTAAATTGTTTTTTTCTAAATAGTAGGATTATTTTTTATGTTAAATAATAAAACTTTTAATTCAAAACAAAATAATGACAATTTATTGTACTAAGTTACACACCCTAGTAAAATCAACTGTACTGTTTACCCCCTCACATGTTTGCACTTCTCCTCTTAATTTGGTTTCGATTGGTCAATGTATGGCTATTTTAGAGGGGGTGACGGACGGACGGAAGTCACAGAATTTTATATATACACCCTTATGCAAATTAATTGAAACAACTGCTTTAGTTACCTTTAGACCCACTGGGGTAAAAGGGTGTAATCGATTTCGATTTTTCCCTCAGATTAGGTCCGTTACAATGGTGTGCAGTAATATGAATCTATTTTCCGGATGTATGATGAAATTTGTTTGGCCTTGGAAAATATTGCGTCATCCGTGATTGCATCAGATTTTCATTACGCCCAGACACTATTGTCTCAACTGTCGATTAGTTGTCCTACGGCCATTGTCTGCGATGGGCATTACTTCGAGGAAGCGTACGAAAATTTGTAAAACTGCACGAACACATTGGCAAGCCTTACCAGTGAGCAAATGAAAATACTATAGACTGGCCCGGAAACTCTCCTGATTTAAATCCAATCGAGAATCTGTGGTCAATTTGCAAGAAACGACTTCGTGGAATGGACATATAAAGTCCTAACATGTACACTGGGTCATGTTTCATTGGAAAAATACGAAAAAGTAAATAATAAGGGAATTATTCGTTTATTCTAATTAATTTGCACAAAGGGTGTAGATGTCACTTGTCTGACAGTATAATTCTTTTTTCTTTTCATTTTTTAAGCATTTTTAAAAAGAATTCTGTTGGTGTATTGTAGATTTGTACCTGTTCACATATAAACAATTAATATAGAATTAACAAAACTTCGGTTTCTACTACGGACCATTCTTTATTATAGAAACGGCAGGGAAACAAAGTTCTCAATGTTTCTTGGATGTGTCCGTTTTCTTTTTCAGGTCCAGATGTAAGTAAGGATAAGAATGGTTAAAATGGTCGAGCTCAAGTCAGCTTTGCGTTGAGTTGGAACGACCAAAGTATGAGTGGTGCTGCAAAATACGTCCGAACTCTATGCGTTGGAAAATGAAAGGAAAGTTTTGT